CCAGCTACTTGGGAGGCTGAGGCAGGAGACTCGCTTGAGCTCAGGAGTTGGAGGTTGCTGTGAGCTGTGATGCCATAGCACTCTACCCAGGGGGACAGCTTGAGGCTCTGTCTCAAAAACAAACAAACAAACAAAGATTAATTGCTCAGACTGACTCACACTATCAGTAGTTTCTTTCTTTCTTCTTCTTTTCCTTTTTTTTTTTTTTTTTTGCAGTTTTTAGCCGGGGCTGGATTTGAATCTGCCACCTCTGGCATATAGGGCCAGCACCCTACTCCTTTAAGCCACAGGCACCGCCCTTTTCTTCTTTTTTTTTAAACCTTTTTTTCCCACTTAAGCATTTTGAAATCTTGAAATCAGTAGATTTTTTCAATAAATCATTTTATGAAACAAGCAATCCTACTTTGCCCTCCTAAAGTGTTGGGATTATAGGCATGAGCCACTATACCCAGCCTATATCATAAACATTTTTAAGGTGAGGTTCTGCATATGGTTTCCTTTCCTTAATTGAAGGCTCTTTGAGTAAATAGTTTGTACTTTTTAAATTGGTAAATAATAATTACATGTATTTATGGAGTACAGTGTGCAATTTTGGTACGTTTGAATTATAGAATAATTAAAACAAACAAGGTGATTAACACATCTGTCTCCTCACATGCTTATTTTTTTGTTATGAAAACTTAAAAATCTGCTCTTAGACTGAGTGCAATGGCATACTCTGGGAGGTCAAGCAATCCTCTTGCCTCAGTTTTTCTATTTTTAGTAGAGACGGGGGTCTTGATTTTGCTCGGGTTGGTCTTGAACTCATGAGCTCAAACTATCCACCCACCTCGGCCTCCCAGAATGTTAGGATTATAGCCATGAGTCACGGCACCCAGCCTCTAACAGAAATTTTATACCTTTTGATCAATATCTCCTCTTTCCCCCTCTATTCTCCTCCCTCTGCCTCTGGTAACTATCATTCTACTCTTTACTTTCATTCTTTTAGATTCTACACATAAGTGAGATTATTTGTGGTGTTTGCCTTTCTATGCCTGGTTTATTTCACTTAGCATAATGTCCTCCATGTTCAGTCTGTACTTTAAAAATTATGATGTAGTAAGAAATTAGCCACGCTTATACCTCAGCAGCTAGGGCACCAGCCACGTACACCCAGTCTGGCAGGTTCAAACCCAGCCCAGGCCTGCCAAACAATGACAACTACAACCAGAAAAAAAATAGCTGGGCATTGTGGTGGCTGCTGTAGTCCCGCTACTTGGGAAGCTGAGGCAAGAGAATCGCTTAAGCCCAAGAGTTTGAGGTTGCTGTGAGCTGTGACAACACAGCACTCTTCTGCGGGCAATATAGTGAGACTCCTGTCTCGAAAAAAAAAGAAATTACCCAGGAGTGGTGGCATGTGCTTATAGTCCAAGCAAATCAGGAAGCTGAGGTGAGAAGATCACCTGAGCCCAGGAGTTGGAGGCTGCAGTGAGCTATAATTACACCACTGTACTCTAGCCTGGGTAACAGAATAAACAGGGTAAGTATTGATATTATTGACTTATTTATTTACTTTTTTAGAGACAGAGTCTCACTTTATCACCCTCGGTAGAGTGCTGTGGCATCACAGCTCACAGCGACCTCCAGCTCTTGGGCTTCTTAGGCAATTCTCTTGCCTCAGCCTCCCGAGTAGCTGGGACTACAGGCGCCTGCCACAATGCCCAGCTTTTTTTTGTTACAGTTTGGCTGGGGCTGGGTTCGAACCCACCACCCTCCATATATGGGGCAGGTGCCCTACTCACTGAGCCATAGGCGCCGCCCAGATTAGACATTTTAGAAGGCCACTTACACCATTGAGATGAGAGTACTGACCTCTGGATATATTGAAAGAATAATTAATAACAATAGTGAAGTAGAGTTCTGATCATTACTAGAAGACTTAGTGTTAAATATATAGTAGCCTTTCTCCCATTTTAATTTGCATTTGTGATGAAAGGAAGTTTCTGGGTAGTGTTCATCTTGCATGATAGACGCTGACATTTTTCATGTCATTCTAATACTTAGCTATGACTTATGGGGTGTCACCTTCAGTCTCTAAGAATTAGACTAAATTTCTTACAGATTTTGTCACGTTGCCACTCAGAATTTAGTTAGAGGAAAGAAAGTAAGACACAATTGCAGTTGTTTAGCTGAACATTTCACTCAGGAGGGTTTATTAGAGGCAGTGAGGCAGAATAGGAAGTCCTCATTCTGTATGGCATTTATTTAACAACTCTATTTTGAGGATTTTTCTCTGTACCAAATCTTAGGCAGAGGTGACACTAGATCATAGAAATCTGCTTATCCCCAGTTTCTAGCTGATGCCTGTAATTTCATTAGTATCAAGAAAGTAATTTATTTGTGAGAATTGTATCACCCAAGAAAAATGCAAATATACTTGTAGGGAACCAGAGAGATAGCACAAGCCAATATTTAAACACAAAACATCAAAACTTTGGGAAGCTGAGATAGAATTCCTTGAGACCGATAATTTGAGACCAACAACATAGTGAGACCCTATCTCTAAAAAAAAAAAAAATTAGCTAGATGTGGTGGCGCATGCCTCAGTCCCAAGTACTCAGGTGACTGAGGTGAGAGTATCATGTGAGTACAAAAATTCATGGCAGCTGTGATCATGCCACCATGCTCTAGCCTGAATGACAGAGAACCTGTCTCTAAGAAAAATAAACATAAAACATTGAATATCCAGAACTTTTTTGTGATAGCTAGTTACTAGAAGCTCTCTGCTAAATGAGATTAAATAATAAGTTTTCCATTGTGGGAAGGGGAAGCCTGGATGGGTCTTTATTTTTATTTTTTTTGTTAAGTTTTTTGAAAAATTTAATAGATTTAGGGATTAAAAATTGAATTCTGGTGGCACCTGTAGCTCAGGGGGTAAGGCGCTGGCCAAATATACCCAGGCTGGTAGGTTTGAACCCTGCCTGGGCCAGCTAAACAATAAGGACAACTGCAACAAAATATAGTGGGCATTGTGGCGGGCACCTGTAGTCCCAGCTACTTGGTAGGCTGAGGCCAGAGAATCCCGTAACCCCAAGAGTTTGAGGTTGCTGTGAGCTGTGACGCCATGGTACCCTACCAAGGACACCATAGTAAGACTCTCTCTCAAAAAAAAAAAAAAATTGAATTCTGTTGCATGTGTATGGGTATAGTGGTGGAGTCTGGGCTTTTGGTGTACCCATTACCTGAGTAGTATACATGGTACCCTATAGATAATTTTTCATTCCTCATCCTGTCCTGCATCTGGTTTTAATAACTGAAGACTCAGAACAAGGTTGAAGTGGTAAGGCCCTAAAAGAGGCAGGGGAAGTGAGTACTGAAAAAGGAAGAGAAAGGATATATAAAAGATATGCTCTGCTACTCCACAATTCTCTTTTCTTTTCTTTTTTATTTTTTTTGGCGTCAGAGTCTTACTTTGTTACCCTCAGTAGAGTGCTATGGCTTCCCAGTGTGCTAGGATTACAGGCGTGAGCCACCACACCCAGCCTACTCCACAGTTTTCATAGAGCTAACCCTGGTTGAGTGGTCACTGAAATGTACAAAGCATTTAGAACTTCATGCTTTGTTAATACAGGACTTGGTGATAGACATCCCTTTTAAGACAGCTCTTTATCTGCACTAAAGTCTTCCCTTTCACATTGCTTTGTACCTATCATACCTCCAGGTGTGCCAGAAATGATATAAAGGGTAGTGGTGAAGTCCATACAGCCATCTTTCTTAGCCAAGTTATTCTAATCTTTTAATTGCACTAAATTAGCAATTAGTATGTAGACTGAATTGTTAAGGGGGAATAACTTCCCAGTTCAAGTGATTAACTATGGCCATTGTTCCAGAAAGAGGCATTTCACTGTTTCTACTAGAGCCTATGTTTTGTAAAGCTTTGCTATTTTTGCCAGATGCCATTGGTTTATCTTGGTGAAATACGTGCTATGGAATATATGCTAGTATATCAGTACCAACATGTTTGAAATACTGGTGACAGACTTTATTTGTTAACCTCAATGAGAAAAAAAAGTATTTTTCACTTTCTCTGACTGATTAAAAGAAGATGGATGCCCAGAGTTCAGCCAAAGTCAATGCAAGGAAGAGGAGGAAGGAGGCACCTGGACCCAATGGGGCAACAGAGGAAGATGGAATTCCTTCAAAAGTGCAACGCTGTGCAGTTGTAAGTAAACAAGAAATTTCTTTGTTAAATACTTAGCCTGGCAGCATGAGGGTAGAAAGTAATATAACATTGATGATATCAGTGTCACATGTCTTCTTCTTTGATAATGGAAAGAATGAATAGTAAGTGTATTGTCATCGTTGTTGGAAATCTGTTATGCTTTCTTGTCAGACTCACAGCTCAGTTGTGGGAACTTTACATAGATATTGAAAAAAGAATGTTAGGGAAATTTGAAGGTTGTGTATATATTAGGCTAAAGATCAAATTCAAACTAATGAAATGGAGAAATTTGGGCTATAGGCAGTAATTTAAAATTTGTCATTTTGCTGGGCACAGTGGCTCACATCTGTAATCTTATCACTTTGGGAGGCTGAGGTAGGCGGATTACTGAGGCCAGGAGTTAAAGACCAGTCTGAGCAAGAGCAAGATACTAAATAATAAGAAAATAAGCTGGATTGGTGGTACATGCCTATAGTCCCATCTGTTTGGAAGGCTGAGCCAGGAGCATTACTTGAGCCCATGAGTTTGAGTTTGCAGTAAGCTATAATACCACTGCACTGTAGCCCAAGTAACAGAGCAAGACCCTGTCTCTCTCTCTCTCATACACACAAATAAATAAATAGATAGGTAGATAAATAAATAAATAAAATTCATCATTTCATGGTGTCTAGTGTTCTGTGTCTTACTCTTTTCTCCCCGTTGTCATTCTTCTTCTACTATATTACTTATTGTATCTTAAATGGGAACCTTTTCACGTTATTGCCTACTCTATGTTCTTTTATCTCTGGGACATCATCTGTGTACCCCCTAACTACTGCCAAGCCTCATGTGAAGGACCCCATTCCAAACTTACTACCCTTCACCTAAAAAACATGTTCAAAATCACTGATACACAATTGAAGTTACTATTTATACACAATATTATGAAATCCATGTTTCAAAATTCCAGGGACAGAATCTTATGTTTCTGTTGTTTCTTCATCTGTCTTGACCTTTAGCTATTGGTCAACTGTAATTTCCACTGGTTATTTCTGGAGCTTCCTAGCCCAGAAATGTTTCTACTGTGAGATAATTAAAAGTTATTCCAGGTGGCGCCTGTGGCTCAAAGGAGTAAGGCGCCAGCCCCATATGCCAGAGGTGGTGGGTTCAAACCCAGCCCCAGCCAAAAACCGCAAAAAAAAAAAAAAAAAGTTATGCCAAATCAGTACTATTAGCTTGGCTCCTGTGGCTCAAGTGGCTAAGGCGCCAGCCACATACACCTAAGGTGGTGGGTTCAAATCCAGCGGGGGCCCACCAAACAACAATG